GTGTGCGTAGTATAAAAACACTTTTTAATACAATCAAGGGACATAAATTTTTACGAAGGGAAAATACTCATTTAAAGATGATTTTTCAAAAAGAATGTATTAGTTTGCTCATTTCTTTCTGAAATTATTTGTAGATAGTTATGATTATTTTAAAATAAAGGTTTGTGTTAAAAGATAGCTAAAATTTAATATAGTGTTTGAAATTTCTAACTATATTTAAATTATTTTAGGCCTGATTTATTTATAACCTAAATTATGTCTAGTGATCAAATTTGTTAGGCAACTACGCAATGATAACAAGTTAACAATTTCAACATAATATTTTGAAAACGTAAATTTTTGCTATTGGAAGCCCCACTCTGGCTTTTGCCAGGGTCCGCAATATAGGCAGGCCATAAATATGGCCAATTGTCTTAACGCGGTTTCTGGGACCTCTCCACGGTGATCCTCACCCACATGGTGGCACTCTGTGTCAACATAATATTTTGAAAACGTAAATTTTTGCTATTGGAAGCCCCACTCTGGCTTTTGCCAGGGTCCGCAATATAGGCAGGCCATAAATATGGCCAATTGTCTTAACGCGGTTTCTGGGACCTCTCCACGGTGATCCTCACCCACATGGTGGCACTCTGTGTCATCGGGTGTTTATCGCTTGTGTGATGTCCTAGTGGGGTAAAAATTCATACATTCATTCATTGGTCCACTGCCGTGTATTGTCGCTCTGCTGCTACTTCTAGCCAAACCATCAAGATGACTCAAGTCTTTTTCGGCATAGCAATTGGTGGCTCTCCAGATGGTAGAAATGTTTTTAAGCTCTTTGACAATGAAGTTCCTTAAAACAGCAGCCAACTTTAAAACACTTTGCACTGGTGAAAAGGGCTTTGGATTCAAAAATTCAAGTTTCCGGTTTGGCAGCCATCGATTCGTAGAGTGGTGGCATCATGCAGATTTTTGTCAAAACCCTAACGGGTAAAACTATTACTCTTGAGGTAGAGCCCAGCGATACTATTGAAAATGTCAAGGCTAAAATTCAAGACAAAGAAGGCATCCCTCCTGACCAGCAGAGGTTGATCTTTGCCGGTAAACAGCTCGAGGATGGACGTACCCTGTCCGACTACAACATCCAGAAGGAGTCTACTCTTCATCTGGTGCTGAGACTGCGAGGTGGAGGTAAGAAGAGGAAGAAGAAGAACTACACCACCCCGAAGAAAAACAAACACAAGAAGAAGAAGGTCAAGCTGGCGGTTCTCAAATACTACAAGATTGATGAGAATGGCAAAATCACACGGCTTCGCAGAGAGTGCCCCAACAAATACTGTGGTGCTGGGATCTTCATGGCATCTCACTTTGACAGACAGTACTGTGGCAAGTGCTGCCTGACATACGTCTTCAACAAGCCTGGAGAAGAGGCTGAGGCTTGATTCATTCAATAAATGCATTAGTTGAATCCAAAAAAAAAAAAAAATTCAAGTTTCCATAGGATCATCCAGTGTTGCCACTTTAGATCTTTTATATCCAAATTTAGATCTCTTTCATTGCATTTAGATACTGTTTTTGAAGTTTAGATCGTAAATATTTTTCTAGATCCTTTTCATATGGAGTTAGAAATTTTATAGATTTATTTTTCTTTCATTGTCAAATTAATAATTACTGTTTAAAATATCTACTACAATATTTTTGTTTTGGTCTGGCACGTACATTGTGACAACTGCCATTACTTGAACTTTAAACTCTCACTGGGGTCAACGCACAAATATCTGGCAGCCCAGGTACTGATTAATAAAAACGCGCGTAAATCATACTAACTTTGTTTCAACCGTATCCTCACTGTGCTGACTTTGCGTTTCTTTTTCATGTGATTTGAAAAAAAAAAATTGATCACCTTCTTATGCGGCTTTCACTTTGAAAAAACCTTTCAACATGCCAAATGTAAAGGTTGAGCAACAAATTTGGAAAGAGTGGTTACATGATTACTAAATTAAAAACTGGGGATATCATGACCAAAGCTTGTTGTAAGTACTGCAAGTGTGAAATTAAAGCGAAAATACAAAACTCAAAGAGTCATGCAGAGACTAAAAAAGCATAAAACTGCAGTTTCATTTAAAGATATTACACCGCTGATATCTGTTTTCAGAACTATACTGATAAATGAATCATCAAAAGTTGAAGTATCAGTCGCAATGTTTTTAATTTGTCACTGCCAATTTCAAACTGTGACCATTTGATCGATTTGTAAAAAATCTTGGACTAGTTCAATTTGAAAAGTGTGATGTAGAAAGTATAGTTTAGGAACTGAAGGACCTTTTAATCAGCAAACAGTTAGGCTTGAAGAATTTAGCTGTAATTGGTACTGATAATGCCTCAGTGATGGTTGGTATAAACAATGGCGTTTATGCCAAGTTGAAGGAAGCTAACCCATCGTTAATACTTATAAAATGTATGCGTCATTTATTGCAGCTAGCATTATCACATGCTTCATCTAAATATTTACCAAGGAATTTGGAATACCTTATTTACTGGTTTTCCAAATCATTTGTCAGACAACAGCAATACAATACATTATGTACAGCCTTGAATGATGGTACACACCACCGAAAATGCTGTCAGATTGCAAAACTAGATGGTTATCAATTTAACTAGCTGTTGAAAGAATTATGAAGCAATGGCTGAAGTTGAAGACACACTTTGAAAAAACAAGACAAAGTGAAAAGTGCTACACAGCTGAAATACTATATGGAATGTACAGTGATGACAAACAAATTGTAATTTATTCTCTTTTTATAACCTATTCTAATGGAAGTGCAAAAAGTTAATAAACTGTTCGAATCTAAACTTGTTGATAAAGTTAAATTACTTAATGATCTCACCTTGCTTTTTCACTCGGTAAAAGACTGGTGTTGCCAACTTCTAAAGCTGATTTGCTCACTTGCACTATAGAGAGCTATTTGGCTCCTAAGCCACACCTTGGATATTAAATCGAATCAAAAATTGATGATTTAAAAACAAAAGGACTGTTAACAGAGAATGAAGAGAACAACTTAAGAAAACGCTGTCAAGATTTCCTTATCTCATTATTGAAGCAATTGAAGCAGAGACTTCCTGAAAATCTAGATATTTTGAAAAATATTTCACTTTTTTTTCTGTGAGCAACATACTTCAGCCAATAAAGGACATACCTAAATAGTGTAAAGTTATGAAATTTTTAGGGGCTACTGATAATAGTGTCGCGGAAGCAGAATATCAGTTAACCAAAATAAAGTTAGCTGAATGGACAAATAAAACAGAAATTAAAGCGTTTTTGAGTGAAGTGAGACAATTTAAAGATGCCTCATCAAACAGTCCATTCTGTAAGCTCTTTAAAGTGCCATGTCTGCCATGATACTACCCCACTCAAATGCTGACGTAGAAAGAGTTTTCAGTGCTAGGAATTATATCAAATCTAACCTAAAAAACAGGATGAAATTTTACCTCTTAAATGCTATCGTGCCATTAAAATTCGGCCTGATGAGACTAGAGAAATAAGCCTACTGTTCCACTTATAAAGAAATTTGAACAGCTAAAGCATACCAGGGTCATTTTGGATCTGAAGCTTCAACTTCATTATCCAAGCTAAGTTTATCCTGTGCATCTTGTGAGGCAGACATCAGTGAAGGTGAGGACATGATTATGTAGGGTAAGTCATAACAAAAGCTATGTAATTTTTGACTTTTTCAATTTGGATGTTTTTTCTAGATATTTTCCACGCAGATTTAGATCTTTTTAGATATTTTTTGACACCGTTTTGGATATTTTTTTGTCAAAAAAAAGTGGCAACACTGGCTTTTGTGTTAAACATTATGACACAACCGAGTGAAATTTTTTCTGTAACAAAGTAGCATGGAAAAGACTTTTTCTTACTCTAAATTTTTTTTCCAGTGATATCATTTGAATATATTATTTTTAAAAACATTTCATCAACATACATCACATTGAACTTTTTTGAATACTTTTATTTCCACATTTTTTGTTTGTTTGTTTAGATAGCACGTGTCTTGATACTGACAATATTTCTTTAGGATCCACTTGAAATTGAGCTTTAACAATCAATATGCATCATTTTCATAGAAGGCACATCAGATACTCAACACACAATTGGTTCATTAATGAGGAAGACAGAAGCTTATATTCAAATTAATTTAATCTTACTGATGTGCATATTAAGGAGCTCAAGTTATACAGAGATACGAGTACTAATTTAAATAAAAACTATACCAATTTTCACTCACTCTTCAGTGATAGGGCTTTCATTTTCTTTTAGTTTTGTACTCTCTCCCTCTCTCTCTATCTCTCTCTCTCTCTCTCTCTCTTCCCTCTCTTTTTCTCAATTCCACCCCTACTCGCAGTCTATCTCTTTCATTCTTTCTTTCATCTTTACTGGTTTAGAAGAAGCATGACATAATATTATGCGTACAGTTCACGTAAATTGTCAAAATAGCATAAATACACAAATAAAATACTATGCAGTATTACAAATAATACATTAATATTACTGCTGATATGCCATCTACTTGTAAATACTATACTGTGTAACAATAAGTACCATTGTGTTACATGATTACAATTAATATTTAAAGACGTATAAATGCTTCATCATGTAACAATTAAAACAATTCTATCATTGCCAAGTGTCATCTTTATATTGATGGTTGACAATCACCAGTCTCCAACTCTCTCCTGCATCTCTTCGAGCTTTTAAATGGAACTGGTCATCTGATAAGAATGCCCTGTTACCAACTGCAACATAGGATTATATGAAACAATAACAGATTAAATTATCTGGCAACCTGGCAAGAATATTTTGGTGCCAGCTCTTCAGTTTTCTTTCTGTCATTTTTCTTTTCTCCAAAACGTGTGTACAACGTTACTGAAGAAGCATATTTGCTCTGAAGTCTGTTTGCTTTGTCTGTTTGCACTGGTCTTTCTCTTTAACATGTTTCTTTGTTTTGAAGTCTGTACTCATACTATCGCTTCTGGTTTCGAAGACTATATTTGTGCATGCACTTATAAAATACACGGAGGAGATCAATGACCCTCGGATCGTCAGTGTCAGAGTACCTGCTGTTAAAGTTGGTGACATAGGACACGCCAAGTCTGTTGCCTGGGTCAGCAAAGGCATTTTGGCCGCCATAGCCCCGATGGCCGAAAATTAGCCGACCCTGGTTTAAAAAAAATCATAAAGATTAGCGATGTTGTTAGGTCATTTTTTTTATCATCTGTATATCACATGACTATGACTCTGTGACATTCTATGATTGTGTGACATTAGCAGTAACTTTTTGAATACCAAACACATACGGCAAATAACTATCTATCTATCTATCTATCACATACAGATAATAATCGTTGGTAACTGAATTGTTAGTTTTGCTTTTTCTGCCCATAGTGTCTCTGTTCAATCCCCTTCAAATGTAAGTAAAGGGTGCATTTTCACGTCTTTAGGCGTATTGAGTATGTAGGGCTAGTTTTTTTTAGTTGCGTATCCTTTACAGGACGTTGTAGAACCAACAGATCAAGCACACGTTAACTTATTACATACAACGTTCTCATGTGGGACGTAATTACTTTAAAAGATCTTTTCTAAAGGATGACTGGCCGAGACGTCGAATAAACGTGCGGAGTTTGTTCACTGAGTTTCACCCTCACGACCCCTGACACCTGCACAGCGAGCCCAGATCACCTAGTTTTCTATCAACATTTGCAGTCCATTACATACCCATATCTACTCCAGGAGCCGGCAAAGATGACCACCGTAGATTGGAACCTGCAAGCCAGCTTCTTTAGTATCAAGATGCATCACCTATCTACAGTTATTGTGACCGTGTCTGGTCCAGGGGCCGCCTCTGAAGCTTCACTTCCCTGGCTGACCAGTACCGCCCAGCGGTATCGTCCAACTTTACAAATATATAAATAGCCCCAGAAGGGCGTGGTTCATCTGCACACAAACAGCGACAAAGCCCTGCAAGCACCAGTCTAAACAGTTCATCAGCAGGACCATAAGTAGAAATCGCCAGGAAACTGATGACAACCCAGCGACAACTAACCTGACATCAGCCAAGTCCACAGCTCCTGCAAGCAGTCCAAACCAAGACTAAGTCACTACGACCCCGCACCGGATGAGACAGTCAGCCACAAGCCCCCAGATGGACAAGGCCAGCGGAATCAAAACCCTGAAGCCACCTATCCTTACATAGCAAGCTATCTTTCATCCTCACTCCTTCGACCTTACTTTATGTCCTACTCAGCTTTTCAAGCATTAAAATCTTTTTTCTCGCATCTATGTTACATCCCCGCTACATATATACCATGTGTGGTCAGAAGAAAAAAAAAACTGGATAAAAAAATTGAAAAAAAAAAAACAAGGCCAAAACAAACGAAACCAAAATCAAAAGAAAGGCAAAGAAAAAAAAGGCACAATCAGCTCACGCATATACACATATATGATGCAAAAAAAAAATGAAAGCACAAAAAGATGTTAAAAATGGGACCCCGAAAGGGGCCTTGTGGTGGAGCTCAGTGGTAGACTTGTCGACTTCAGTGTGGTGTACCGGGAGGCAGCCAAGGCACAATCAGGTACAGTGTGTCTACCAGCCAGCAAACACCCAAGAAACATGATAGGCAACAGAGGACAGACCCAAAACAGAACTTATCCAGAGCAAATTTACGCTGACAGAAAGAAAAGGCTCACAAAGGAAAATCGGAATACAAGGCGCAACCAAACGCCATAAAGATAAAGTACGACCAAGAGTCAGCAAATAAACACCGACTTGATATAGTCGCCGCTCAGCTAAGGAGCAGATTGAAGAAGTCAAGGAGTTTAGTATTTTTGTTTCCATCACCGATAACCGGTACAGAAAGTTTGATAAGCAAGTGTACTGACAACTACAGATCATAAACTTGATGACGTTAAGTTGGATCATCATAAACCTTATCCAGTTCCAACTGTGTAGCCCTCTCATCTGTGTCTGGGCTTTGGTCTCAGTCCAGGACTTGAATGTTGAGTGCACATCCCTTTTCCAGATCTGGCTTATTATGTGCAGACTGGTAGTTTGACGCCTATAAGACAGGAGTGCCCCAACTTGGAAGGAAACGTTATAAGCATACCCAATTCCTTACGTCCTTCTTAGGAGGTAATTTTTTGTTATTTGAAGCCCCACTCTGGCTTTTACCAGGAGCCGCAATATAGGCAGGCCATCAATATGACCAGTTGTCTGAACGCGGTTTCTGGGACCTCTCCACGGTGATCCTCATCCGCATGGTGGCACTTTGTGTCATCGGGTGTTTATCACTTGTGTGATGTCCTGGTGGGGTAGAAAGTCAGTCAGTCAGTCAGGTAACGTCGATAATATCTACGTTGACAAGGTCCTCGGCAGGAAACCTAGCTGAAGGGTGGCAGCGTAAAGGTGTAGTAGATACACTGCGTAGGTCTTAACCAGTATGTGCCTCGGTCCTGGTGCACCACTTGGGTGATTACACTGCCCTGCATCCCCAACTTAAACTGAAGAAAAAAACAAAACAAGAATCAGTTAATTACTAACCTGGATACTCTTGCCTACAGCTGTACCCATGGCGAATGGTTCATCAGGAACTGCAATTACTGGTATATTCTCTGTTGCTGGCGTAGACAGCGCCGCTACCTGACGTTTTGACAGTAACTGCCTTCCGTGGATGGATCCTTCATTGGCTAAGTAGTCGTAGAGCTCGGCTAAGCTTCTTGCTGTGCCAAACCCCACAGCTGAAGGCATGCCAATAGCTTGCAGTTCAGGGTCGTTCATCACGTTCATCTGCATCGTTAAACACAGAGCTGTATTATTAACTCTTTGACTACCAAGACCACGACTGTCTTAATGTAAGGAATAGCCGGGCACATGCCAAGTGGCTTCGCAAGCATAGAGGCCCCATGCTAATCTGTATATGTCAAGTGACTTGCTGTAAGGGTTGTCTATGGTGCACTATCACACTGGTTTGCTCAGGGGCCCATAATACTGTGAGGACGGCCCTGACTCCCATACACTGTGCGTCTTCTTTTTATTTTATATATGTTATTTATTTCTTCGCTTCCCCCACCCCAAAAGTTAGGAAGTTAGTTAGTCTTTCCTCTTAAGCCTAAGGCGGTGCATAGGGCAGAGGTCATAGCTCTCCATGTCTGGCGGTTCGTTGCCACCTGTTTTAGGTCTTGAATGTTCATCAGGCCTATGGTTGAGCCTTCTCTGATGATAGTTATACGTAATGTCTCTCTTGGTCTTCAAAACTTTCTTTTCGGTTTCGGTGTCCATGGGGTTTAATGGGGGAGTCTTGTCTTATCCATTCTGAGTGCATGGCCCATACAGTTCCAGCAGCGCTTTCTTTTAAAATTGGATACATTTTCTTGCTTGGTCTATTGTCTTATTTGCGTTTCGGATATGAAATCTGTCCTGGGGAGATTTAGTACTCTTCTTAGACATCTGTTCTCAAAATTGTCTTTTTTTTTTTAATTCTTATCTAGAGCTAAAGTTGCTTTCCAACACTCGCATCCATAATTTAGCGCTGAAATCACACATGATTTGAAGAGTTTGTGCTGAATGTCTTTGACTTCTAGATGTTTGACAGTTCGTTGAAAACACTAGATGCCAGTGCGATTCTAGATGATATTTCTGGCGCTGAATTCCCCTATAGATGTCACCATGGTCCCTAGGTATGTAAAACTGTTGGCTTTTTCAAGAATGTGATTGATTAGTTTGTTGTCGTCTGAAATATTGATAAAATAAAATTTTTTTGGTTTTGGGATGTTGATTTGGAGACCAGTTTGTCCTGAAACATTTTGTAAATGAGTTGTTTTCTCTTGGACATCTCAAAAGCACTATGTCGTCAACAAAAAGTACATGTATGTCACATTAATTTAGAAAAAAACACAAAAACATTATGTGCTGCCTCCACAATGAAGGTTTGCCATGGTGCTAGCACTGTTGTCTCTGAGAATATTATATGTGTGGTGTCCCAATCTCTTCATAGATGCTATTCTCAAACTATTGTACGGAAACGTGTTTCTTTTTACAGAGTAAGCACGCAATTTTGCTCGCGCTCTGAATGTTGTAGTTTCGTTTCACGGCTGCCTTGTTCTGTTAACGTGTGCAATTTTTACGGAGATCCCTCAGCAATCGTGACCGGAGCTATGGAGTTGGTGTTTTGTGCCACGTTGTCGGTGGGAGGCTAGCCGCTCTGAGGAGAAAGACTGAGCCAAATGAGATAAGACCCTGTGCAATAAAGTCTATCCTCTCGACTGTAACTTTAACACTGGAATACAGTAAGTGCCTCATATTTTTTTTTTCTAATTTGAAACTGCCTGCCTAATGGTTGCGAGTTCGAACCTCCTTCCGATTTTGTAAGCTGATCTGAACAACCAGGTCGACCCAGTCTCAAATTGAACACAGGAAATTATTTCAGGAAATAAAAGCGGCCGGCGATATATTGATTACATCATACATCGAGTTTATAAACTAGATTCGTCTTTAGACTAGCACTGAATATCTAAATATTATTGTTTGTTGGAACCTCATCGGTTTTACAGACGATAGTGACAAGCTCTGCCATGGGGAGGAATGGGATTCGCAGACCATAGCTATGACAAGTGTGACTAGAGCGTGAAAAGGGTTGTTTATTTATTATCTTTCTTTCTCTCTATTTCTCTCTATTTCTCTCTCTCTCTCTCTCTCTCTCTCTCTCTCTCTCTCTCTCTCTCTCTCTCTCTCTCTCTCTCTCTCTCTCTCTCTCTCTCTCTGGTAGTCTCTATCTCTGTGTGTGTAAACGTGCATGCATCTATGCAGGTAATTTTTGTCTAGACTTTAAGGTACGTGTATTCCAGATACAGTGTCCATAAAAGGTGCTTGTACTTACCATAAAGTGTCTATTACAGTAACGCTGGAACAAATGATCGGGGGAAATTATGCCAGTACTTATTAACCTGTGGCGCCCGTGGCTTAGGCGTTGCGAGCCCAACTCGTAATTCCAACGTACCGCGATCGAAACCCACTGCTGGCTGAGTGGATTTTTATCGTGGTATGGGGCGTTGCAGGTCTAAAATGGATACCAGGATGGCTGTCCTGGGAAAGTAAAGACGGTCGGCGTATTGCTGACCACATTACCCATCTAGTACAGATTGGTCTGTAAAAATAAGGGTGCTCTTCCTATGTGACCGATTTCTTAAGGCGTGAAAAGGGATCTTTACTTTACTTAGTTGCGTACCGCCAGAAGAAAAACCTTAATATGTATATGTCTGAATACGCGCGCGCTGCAAATTAGTCATGTGATACCCACATAAATCACGTGGACACAAGTACTCACATCGTTCATAATGTCGAACACATTCATTGATCTGTGTACCGTGCTGCCAGGTAAGAGTTCTGGCAGCCATTTCCATCGATAAGGTTTCAGAAGAAAGGCCCCTGCTAATAGCTCCCAGATGGGTGTGAAACGGCCCCTGGCCACACGGTGGTGTAACTCCGGGGGCAAGCCCACGTGGAAATCAATTCCTTAAAAAATAAAAATAACAAAGAAAAGTATTTAGCACAAAACTGTTGGGAAGACAATCATTGTATCTAAAAGATATTTGTAATGATGAAAACACTCATTTCTGGATTAATTTTTTTCCTTACAAGACCAGAAAGATCTGACCATCTTTAAGCCATCATAACTCGGATACCGTTGGGAGTGCAGTTGGGAGTGACGAGAGGTTCTGGCAGATGCTCGAGGCTCAGAGGAAAGGCAAGACGGGCGTTTAATCAGAATGCTGCTGGCACCATTAGTATCGAACTCTTTGCTGTCTGCTGAAGATGGGGACGGAGCGCTTATGGGAATGCACCGAGTGTTGTGATGTCGGTTCTTGAATCAAATCACATCAAATCAAAACTCGATACTACTTATCCGATTAAAAAAATAATCTACACAGGAACGTGTAGGATATCGGTTAATCTTTAATTTGTTATCAAGTTTGTTACAAAATTCAAATATCGCATTTTGTTCAAGATTCCTTGCTAGAACTCTCCCTTTAAGGAATATAATAAATGTCAGGGAAACCTCTAGTATCAACAGTTATAAGGCAGAGAAGATGATGCTATATTTGAGACATTCAGAGAAGAGGCGAACAGAGAAGCATCAGACAGTAATTGAAATAGGAAACAGAGGGACTGAGGAAAAGAGGATGTCTAAGAGAAACCCTACAGTGAACGCTGATGGGAGAAGCCAAATCTTCTAGACTCTATTCCATTCAAGATACTGAACTTCTTCTTCTTCGTTCTTCGCCTTCACCAGCTGTACACTCTGGCGGAAAGTTCTGGTTGCTCGTCCACTAGTGAACTGCAGTCCTGCTCCAGAACCTGGGTGTTGCGTGTGCATCAGTTTTACGGATCTCATTCTCTTGAATATAGATTGTTGGTTCCTTGCCTCTCCGGCAGATGCACTCCGACTTCAAAGGAAGCTCCCCAATTAGTCGACTCTTACGACATGCTCTTGGGGAGGCAGTTAGTCTATTCTTGTTTTTCCCATAATGGGGCCCCGGAACCCACACAGGGGAGATACTGAACTGATTGCAGAAAACAGATTGGAATATAGAAATGAACTGCGGACGTGACATACAATGGCACAAAAGGATGATTCGTGCATTTTATGTATGTATTTAGTCACCGTCGGGCGTGGTTAGTACTTGGGAGGGAGGAGTCGTGATGTAGCGGCTAGGCGCCCTCCTGCTGGTCAGAAGGTGGTGGTTTCGAGTCTTTATGGAGCTGGACTATTTTCGAAAATGACCTTAGTTCTCAGGTCGACCTAGCCTTGAGTGGGTACCAGGTACAGTCCTGGGAAGTAAAGACGGCCGGCGTAATGCTGATCACATCACCCACCCCGTGACGATTGGTCTATAAGATTTAGGTTTAGCCCTATATGCTCGAACCCCCGAAGGCGTGGAATAGGGTCCTTTACTTTTACTTTACAGACACTGCAGTTGCAGTTGCAGTTTGTTTGAAAAAAAAATAAAAGTTCTTGTCACCCTAACCAGCTCCAATGATGAGCGGCGGTTATTTTGGGACTGCGTTTATTTGTTTGCAATTTCCAATATTTTTTTTCAATTGTGACGAACTACGTCTAGAAGTGGTTTCCTTGCGTGTTTCTGCGATGGTGGCCGTGATTGGGAGTGGAAGTTTACTAGTCCTGAGAAGGACTAGTAAAGTTTGCCGGGGCGGCCTCGAACGGGTGGGAGGGATTGGGTTCGGCGGTTGACATCATGCCTGGCTGGTAGCGAGCTGTGGGGCGGTCTCCGGGCTGGGTGGTTGGCTGGTTCAGCTGTCATGGCGGCTGGTCTGGAGGGCGTGGGTTAGTTTCTAGAGTTCATCTCTAGCCAGTTTGTCTTCGTATGATCCCGCGTATTTGGCTAGTTCTGCGTCTATTCTGTCTGACTCTTCTTTTGCTTTTCTGTCTGCCTCCAGCATTGCTTCGAGGTCTTCTTCTGATATTTCTGCGGCGGTTATTTTTGCTTTCTGTGCTTTTTTGCGGTTTTGGACTGATTGCCTTTTTCGTTCCGCTTCTTTCCTAGCGCTTTCTCTGGCGTCCATCACTTCATTGGTGGCTTGCAGTGCGGCGCTCAGTTTAGTCAATTCTTCCTTTGCCTTGGCTAGCTCTGCTTTTGTTTCTATCGCTTCTTTCTTGGCATCGGCGACATCGGATAGTAGATTTGTATGGCTTCTTTGGATCTCTTTGGCGGATTCGGCGTCTGCTACCTTGATCTTTTTGAGTTCAGTGAGCATCGCCATCAATTCTGTCTTGAATGCCATCATCTCGACATTTTCTTTCTCCAGTCTTCGTTGGGTTTCTAGGGACGACTGTATGATACTTCTTAGGTCGTTCATTTCGTCTCTATACTGGATCCTTAATGCCTTGATCTTTGTGTTTTCTTCCCTGAGGGTTTTGATTTCGTCCCTTAAGAGCGTGATCTTCTTGTTGGTTGCGGGTGGTGCGATTGTCGAGCTAGGCGCCTGGAATCTTCGTCTTGGCTCTTGGTAGTGAGTGGGCCTGGTGGTGGTAGTCGGCCCGACTCTCTTGATCCCTTTCAGGTACGGGCAGCCTTGGTACCTGGCGCTGTGTCCCCCTGAGCAGTTAGAGCACTTCCTACTTGCATTGGGTTTCCTGAAGTCTGGATCCACTTTTGTCAGGGGGCACTCCTTGAAATCATGCGGGCCGGCGCAGTACCTGCAAATTGGGCTGCTGCGGCAGGTCGCGGCGGTATGCCACGCCCGGTTGCAGCGGGAACACTGGATAATTCCTGAGTGGAAGGATCCATGCTGCTGTTGGTAGCGGGTGCCCGTGGAACTTACAGGTTCTGCTGTGGCCGTGACTGGCGGTGTCTGGTCTGGTGTCGGTGCCTCGACAGGTGCTTCATCTATGGTTGGTATCGTCCGGGTGGGCGAGGCTGTTGTCTCTACAGGAGCGTCGGCAGTTTCTGGCGTCGTCTGCACCGTAAGGGCTGGTGCGTCGACAGGTGCTTCCTCCTGTGTGACGGTTTAGTTTTTATAGTATCATCTACCGTCAAGGTCACGGAAACCTGGGAGCTAAGGCACTTTAAGCCTTAAAAAACGGTTATGGGGCTAATGTGTCCCCCCCCCCCTCCCCCATGTATTTTTGTCTTTCAAAGTTTTTGTTTATACATATATTGTGCTTTCAAATATATTATTATATGTCTATGCCACTTAGAGTTTTTTTTTATAACCTTTATTATTATTTAGCACTTAAGCAAGGCTTAGGCTTCCACCACGTAGACAATTTGTTAGGCCCCCTCTCCCACTGATTTCTCCTTCTGCCGTCTCCGCAACTGAGGCTGGCTACAGAGGGGGTGCACCTACCGCTGTCTTTTGAAATACAACAAAGCCCCGAGTTTCTTTCCCTGTTCGACCCTCAAAATGGTGTCTGAAAGTAACGCTAGTAGTCTCTATCTGAACGTCCCATCGTTTAAATTTAACCTTATCGTCGAGGATTGTGACGTTTGAGGTTTTGAACAACGGATCAACATCATGGCACACGGGTAGTAACTCATAAGTGCTCCGTTCTTCTTCTAACTAAAGTCTGAGTCCAAAGAAGCTCAGCACAGTGCACAGGCTCTGTAGCACCGGCGAGGATCCTAAAATATTTTGGGTAGATTTTTAACTCAAAATTTTGCCCAGACAGCGCCATTAGGCTACTCTTTTCGATTTCCAACTGGCATGGGATTTTTTTTTACGTGTTCAACAAGACACACGGGCGTCAGATCTGACTACCCAGAGACCAGGGGGGATTACTAGAAGTCCAAGTCTAGGTGAAAAAATCCCAGCCCTTACCTCTTGCGCACGTAAAAAAAAATCTCTAGACAGTTGGAAATCGAGAAGAGTAGCATAACGGCGTTGACCAGGCAAATTTTGGAATTAAAAATCAACCCAAAGTGTTTCAGGATCCTCGCCGGTGCAATGGAGTTCGTGCTCTACGCGGAGATTCTTCAGACTCAGACTTGAGTTAGAAGTAGAACGGAGCACTTATAGGTTACACCCGTGTGTCATGATGTTGATCGAATAAATATAAACATAGACAAGGTTGATAGTTGCTGGCACAGGTAGATGGTAAAGAAGGAGAACGACCGTTCTGTAGGGGGGAAAAAACAGTTTCGTAATAACATCTTGCAACTGGGTCGGTATTTCTGAAATTTTTGTTGATGTCTGTATCCTCGGAAGTGGTTCGTTTGCTGGCTCGGCGGCTAACAAAAATGTTTCTACTTCTTCTTACTTCCAACACTCGAGACCTTTGCTACGTTAACATAGTCATTTCTTTAGCCACATCACCCATCCTTAGAGCAACTTTGTTCGTTAATGTAGTGTGGTACTTTTTTTTTAAAGCCATGTCGTACTGCTTGGGGAGATCTGAAACACGAATACCATTTTCACGTTTGATTATTAGTTCCTTCTTTGTATCGTGGCGTAGTGGCTAGACGCTCGCGTGCAGGTCGGAAGGTGATAGGTTCGCTTCCTGTCGGAGCCGGACTTTTTTTTTTAATAACCTTGACTGCCAGGTCGACCCAGCTTTAAATGGGTACCGGGTGCATTCCCTGGAAGTAAAGGCAGCCGGCGTGATGCTGACCACCACATCACCTATCTTGTACCGATTCGTCTATAAAAATATAGGTCTAGCCCTATATGCCCCATACGCCTATAGGCGTGGAAGAGAGACCTTTACTTACTTTACTCTACTCCTTCGTATCTGCTGTAATGCACGCAGGCTGCTCTACACATCTGACACTAACCCTTTTCCCTCTCTTGGCAGCCATAATGAGGGTTAATTTAATGGGCAAAAAGGGGAAAAAGGGGGGGGGGGGGATTTATTGACTGCGCGAAAATCAGTATTCTTTTACGCCGTTCGTTAGCTGAAAACTTGGTGCAAAATTGATGTTTTGCGTTTGTGCGCCGAGGCATTGTTTGCGGGTCGAGTCAATTTTTTTTTTTCGGTATTTGTGTTCGTGTGCCAATTTATTTGTGACAATAGGATTTTGTGACGCAAGCGTCTATACATGGTTGTTAGAATTTGGAGAGGGGGGGGGGGGGTTAACTTAGCCCAGTTGCAAATTTTATAAGAGGGGTGGGGGGGGGGAGGGTAAAGCAATATCTCAGCCCCCACGCCCCCTCCCCCCACCCGGTAAGAAGGATTAAGGCGGGGGTAGAAAGGATTGGGGGGGGGGGGTTCAAAGTGCCTGGGCATCCAGATTCCAGCGCCGAATTACGAATACCGCACCCACATTGGCCATAGATATTCTGTTGTGGGTAGGTTTTCTCTACTGCTGTTCTTCCATTGCAGGTCACCTGCTGGGATCTGAACACATGATTGATAAGGAATGTGCGCTGCATGTAACGTATCACACACTCCATCCACGCCTCTTGACAGTTTGCAGAAACAATCGCAGTACGCATGAGTGACCCATTGAAAAATGTTTAGAAGACACATGCTGTGTTTGTTTTAAAACGTCTGTTGCAATACATAATTTTCGAATATGCTTCATATGTTTTTTTTTTTTTTTTAACTAGAAGGATTCATTCGTGTACTAAATTTTCATCATCGTCAAGTGACTTGACGATAGTGTGATCATTTCCTCTACCTAACCGACCATCCAATGTTATATGTAGATCTAATCAGTAGTATGAACCAGACAAGATACAGGATAATGTCTTCTTCCGATAGTCCATGTTAAACTAAGAAGAAGAGACATACTTTTATTCTGTAAGATATAAACGTCCAAGAAAGTTTGGTTTAAAAACTGAAATATTTTGGCTATATCAAGCACTACGGCGGATTGGAAAGAATAATAGCAGAAGGCTTGATACCAGGAAGGAGAGGCAGGGGAACTATCAGCACGAAGATAGGCACGGAATATAAGTGACGCCTTGGATAAAAAATTGCACGAAGCGGGAGAGTTGGCGAGAGGTCGAGTTTCTTTCAACCAGACCGTTCTGAGTGCGATGTTCAGCAAAGGACCTACTGCACGATAATGATACTCTACCAAGCGTTTCGAACTAGCTGCAGCCCAGGCAATTCCTTACCAGAAGTTTTACTTATCCTATCCCCACAATGGACTGCAAGTTGCTTGGTAATTCTAGGGACGACCAAAAAAAACTATAACTTGCTATATGTTTAAACAGGAGTTTCCCCGTGGCGTTCCAGGGTCCCATGTGGGTTTGCCGGGCCCCGTGTGGGTTCCGGGATCCATTTTGAGGGAAAAGAGGAAAATACTTCCTGTCCCAAAGTTTCTTGGATTTACTTCTATTTGATCCTCATCTTTGAGGTGTACTTCCTACGGACATGAATTCTCAAGGGAAACAATGACCACCACCTACTGCACTGTACTGCAAGCAACATCAGGCTAGTATGGTCATTGTGGATGACCCAGTTATAACTTATTTGTGGGGGTTGAACAGGGTATAGGGAGTTTTCCCTGTTGGATAGCCATCCAGGATAGGATTCTTGGAGTCTCAGAGGCGGTGAAAGTTTCAAGTAGGTACCCCCCCCCCCCCCCACCCCCCACCCCGAAAAGGAGGCAGGGAAGGGGTAGAGAGACTTAGTTTGTCATTAAGGGTGATTATGGAAAGCTAACGTGGGCCTGACAGGAAACATGCAAGTAATCATAAATAGTTTTGTATCGGCAGGAAAGGGAGTGGGAGCACTATACGTTCACTCTGTCTAAAAGATAAATTGCTGGTCCCGTTGAAAACTGGGCGATGTGCAGAGTCTGGGTCGCCGACATGGCATCTTTCACCTAGCTATTTATGTTACACCTGAAATGTTACAGCAGTGAACGCATAGATGCACGGACTCTCTTAGACACACACACACACACACACACACATATAGATCTATAAACAGAGAGAGACAGACAGACAGACAGAGAGAGAGAGAAAGGCTGGTAGCACATGATTATAAACTAACTGACACTCAGTGAGTGAAAGGTATGGTCTGTATCACAAACCAAACAAACACAGACACACACATTAAAACGCATATATTTTTCAGTTTTGCCACCCCCTCAGTGATAATACCCGGGCGGCCCGCACCACCACCCCCCCCCTGCCCTCACCCCTTCCTATGCCACTGCACCCAACTGCTTTTACTTTACATAAAATTTCCTGGCACCTATTTTAGGGCGGCAACCCTAGGACAATCATCCATATTTTGAAAATCCCCGCCTTCAGGGGTTTTCCCAACAAATAACCACCTAACTGGCATGCTTCCTGACACAGAAATGGCTTTATAAGGAGATAGCTACACGGGATGAGTGAATGAATGAATGCACGAATAAATGAATGAATGAATGAATGAATGAATGAATGAATGAATGAATGAATGAATGAATGAATGAATGAATGAATGAATGAATGAATTGACTGCACTTCACTCAGGAACATTCCTATACACGCTCTGTCCTCTTCCTCATCGGCCAACGAATTCTTTCCATACAGATAGTGTCAGTTGCAACCTGATTAAAATCTGTCCCTTTTCCCCAGCGCTTTGAAAACGGTCCAAGCCGTGTGTCTGCTCCCCGCTGAATTATCTGTCTTTCAGGGTATATATACACTCTCTGTTCCATTGCAATGTCCTATTGATCCCAGACAGTCTTCACCACGTCCTGTTTATCATAAAATAGATCACCACACAGTTGAGCGGCAGCGACCGATCTATCAGCTTGCTTATTACCCAGCACGTCATCTGCGTGGTATCGGCAATAAATGGAAACAACAACATAGGATCGGCAATATATGTGCATAGTTACATAACAAATCAAATGGTTTGGCCATGTAACAGATTGGTTTCAGACAGGGCCCCACAAAGAGCTATGCTATACAGATTCAGCGGCAACAGACACAGAGGTCGACCACGTAGAATGTTGACCGCAGAAATATCAGAGACCCTGAAAAATACTTTTTATAAAGCTAACTGAAGGGCCGGTTCCAGAGATATCTTCTTGCCCTGACGCCGCGAGACATTCCAGGAGTGGAGAAAAAGAAGAAGAAGAAGAAGAAGAAGAAGAAGAAGAAGAAGAAGAAGAAGAAGAAGAAGAAGAAGAAGAAGAAGAAGAAGAAGAAGAAGAAGAAGAAGAAGAAGAAGAAGAAGAAGAAGAAGAAGAAGAAGAAGAAGAAGAAGAAGAAGTTACATAATATAAGCAAAGCATGTTTACGTGAGATAAGTAATACAAGGACAAAACTAAGGTAGAGAAAAGCAACATATCAACATTGCCACATGAAATATGCAATACACAGGCAGAAGTAGGTGCGATATCAAGGGATGGTAGGAGTACGAAAAGAGCATAATTAATTTGAGCTGCATTTTCAGAGGAGAAAAGGGACCCAAAAAAGGGGGGGAAGGGGAGTGCGGGTGTGAACACAGAAGAAGGACACTGGCCTATTGTGACTGTAATCGTATTCAATTTCTCTTTCTGGGAGAATATATATATATATATAGATATATATTGTTCGAGACGAAAGATAGGTCATTGCACCACTTAATACGACACTTAATGTTTTTACAAGCAGGATGCATTGTAAAGTATGACTTTTTGACCAGCGGCGAGACTAAAGATGGGACACGACAACACTTAACACGACACTTAACGTTTTCACCACAAGCAGGATGCATTGTAAGTACGACTTTTGGACAAATATGACCACTAACCGAAAGGCTCTGCAATTTCTTCCTTGAAAAACTGCGAGATATTTCGGTGCTTAGTGTCAACTTTTCTCACGACTGCGTCGGCAAACATTCCATAGGTGTAGGCGTGGTATGAGTATCTGGTTCCTAGAGAAATCAGTATCATTTTCGGTGTTAAATCTAAATGTCGAAAAACAACTCACTTGTCCGAAGACTGAATAAAAACAGGATTACTTGTTCACAAGACGATACAAAAGAGCCTCGCGTGTATACAAGATAGTAAATCCAGGCTTACGTGTCTACAAGATAGTAGAAACAGCCTCACTTGAGTATACGATAGTAAAAACAGACTCACTTGAGTACACGATTAAAAAAACAGACTCACTTGTGTACATGATAGTAAACACAGACTCACTTGTCTACAAGATAGTAAACACAGACTCACTTGTCTACAAGACAGTAAACACAGACCCACTTGTCTACAAAATAGTAAAAACAGGCTCACTAGATAGTAAAAACAGGATCACTTGTCTACAAGATAGTAAACACAGACTCACCTGTCTACAAGATAGTAAACACAGACTCACTTGTCTACAAGATAATAAAAACAGGCTCACTTGTCTACAAAATAGTAAAAACAGGCTCACTTGAGTACTAGATAGTAAAAACAGGATCACTTGTCTACAAGATAGTAAAAATAGACTTACTTGTCCACAAGAAGGATACAAAGCATCCTCACCTGAGTGCAAGATAGTAAAAACAGACTCACGTGAGTACAGTATAGTAAAAACAGACTCACTTGTGTACAAGATAGTAAATACGGCCTCACTTGTCTATAAGGTAGTAAAAAAAGACTTTCTTGTTCACAAGAATATACAAAAACAGCCTCACTTGTGTTAGGTTAGTTGCGTATCCTTTACTGGACGTTGCAGAACCAACCCTAACAGCCCCGGGATGTTGTGTGGTTTTTCTAGGCAAATTTACGTCCAGTAGTTTGCCATTGCTTACTGAACGGTCGGCTTTCTTTATACCACTATCGAAACCAACGCAAGGCGAATGGCCCGCAGCTGAGATCGAACCCGGCATCCCGGCATTACGAAGCATTCGCATCGACTTAGCCACAGAGCCGACCCTCACTTGTGTACAAGATAGTAAAACCAGACTTACCTATGTACAAGATAGTAAAAACAGGCTCATATGTCTACAAGATGGTAAAAACAGGCTAACTTGTTCCGAAAATAGTAAAAACAGGCTGACTTGTCTGCTAGATAGTAAAAACAGGTTCACTTTTTTTTCTTTTAGAAAATAGTAAAAACAGGCTCACTTGTTCTGCAAGATAGTAAAAACTGGCTCACCTGTCTAGAAGATAGTAAAAACTGGCTCACTTGTTTAGAAGACAGTAAAAACAGGCTCACTTGTTTACAAGATAGTAAAAACAGGCTCACTTGTTTAGAAGACAGTAAAAACAGGCTCACTTGTCTACATGATAGTAAAAACAGGCTCACTTGTTTAGAAGACAGTAAAAACAGGCATACTTGTCTACAAGATAGTAAAAATAGAAGGTTTACTTGTTAATAACTTTACAAGGAAAGTAACAACTGGCCGTTGTGATAACGATCTCATTACTTAACGAGTTGTTTGTGTAGGCTTCATGGCTCAATTGTGGAGGGCAGGGGAGGTGGCTTTCCAACAAGCATGGCGTACGAATGCATCTGCTTGAGAGGCAAGGAACCAAGAGTCTGCATACAAATAAGTGAGATCTGTAACACGGATGTGCACGCAACAAGCAGGTTCGACCCACCGGCTGCCATTTGACTAGCCACGTTATACAGAAATCATGGTTTTGGTCTCCAAATTGGCACCTGGCGATTTAGGAAGAACAGAAATTGAATTGCCTAAGCTCCCAGGTCGACCTAACATAAAATTGGTACCGGGAAACTTTATGGGAAGTAAATGCGGTCAGAGTGCTGCTGACCTAATCCAGTACCGATTGATGCTTAAAAATATAAGTCTAGCATCATGTGTCCGATGCGTTACTGGCCCAAAAAGGGTTCTTTACTTTCCTCCAGTTTGGCTTCACTACCTACCCAAGTGCGCACCCATGAACAGATGCAGTGACACAGGCGCCACTCACCTGGTGGCCAGGCAGGCTTAGATTTGGCCATCAGCTCTTCTATTTCTGCCCAGTTGTCGCGGTATTCCAGCAACGAAAGCTGTCGATCCAGAGACACCAGCCCAGCCTGAAACAAATAACAGTCAATACATCAATTCACGATATACCCGTTCTGGTTCACGATGTTATTGAAAAGAGGGGGGGGGGGGCAGAATACACCAACTGCTCCTTAAAAAGCATGTCGTAAAAGGCGACTAATTGGGATTTCGGGAGTGTTGGGGGATCGGGAGAGAGAGAGAGAGAGAGAGAGAGAGAGAGAGAGAGAGAGAGAGAGAGAGAGAGAGAGAGAGAGAGAGAGAGTCTGAAACTACTCATGTTATGTTCATCGTATTTTATATATAATTCAGGCAAGATACGTGATTATGTGTGTACGTCGACACTTACACAACACACACACACACACACAACACACACAACACACACACACACATACACACAAAGGAGGGGGTATTGGGGTGAGGTCGGTGGGTGGGGGGTACGTTGTTTTTACAAATATTATATATGTGCACTAGTTTTATGGATCACTTTTTCTTTTCCTTAAATACGTTTATATTTCGCTCCTTCACTGTATTACTCTGATTACTCTCGCTGTCAGAGTTAAAAAGATCAGCTATCCAGTCAGTGACCAATTTAATATGGCTTCATTTGTTCACTCCGCCAATCTCTCAACATACTAGATTTTTAGATCAGTCTAAAACTGATGCGATCACAAATTAAAATTGTGACAACAGAGTTTAAACGCCTTAGAAAAGCTGTAGGAGTTTCAAGGAAAGACAGAATACGAAATCACGAAATCAGAAAAATGCTAAGAATAAAGCCAGTCTTACAGGTCATCAAAGAACAACAAATGAAGTGGTTTGGACACCTAACAAGAATGCCTTGGTACTATCTACCACAGCAAGCCACACTAAAAAGTTACCACGGGTGTAGAGAGAGTGGAAGAAATTATGGTGTGATGGCATTACAGCCTTACAGAAATGAACATCAGCCTTAACAGTGCTCTTGACAGAGCTCATCAACGAATGTTAAATCTTTCCCCGACACTTCGATGAGGTACAAGGTGGAAGAGGAGGAGGAGGAGGAGGAGGAGGAGGAGGAGAAGAAGAAGAAAAAGAAAAGAAGAAGAAGAAGAAGAAGAAGAAGAAGAAGAAGAAGAAGAAGAAGAAGAAGAAGAAGAAGAAGAAGAAGAAGAAGAAGAAGAAGAAGAAGAAGAAGAAGAAGAAGAAGAAGAAGAAGAAGAAGACACTTTAAAGAACTTACATCACACCTTTGATTATTCATGCTCTTATTCACTATATTCACTCGCAGTCGGTTTTTTACCTGGTGACTTAAAAGCATTCCCAATGTCACATTCTCCTTGCCAGTTTGGCGAAACTCTGGCCAGTATCCGTGTACATAGTGGCTGTAATCTACAAGACCCCTGTTAGTGAGATTACCAGAAACTGTTAGAAGAACGTTGAAAATATAGATCGTTCCATAAGTTTCCATATACAGCAAAACATTTTTTTGTAAACGAAAACAGTTGTTATTATTATAATATGCTTTACATCAACATGTAGCCCTTTGCAAGCACTCCTGTAGCCTGCACAAAGGAAATCATTATCATCAGCAGCAATTTCCACTTTTGTCGTTAAGCGTTGTGAGAAGTAACAGTTTGCGATGCATTGATTGATGGCAGCAATGGCTTTTGTCATTCCGTGTCGATGTAGAAGCTCTTTAATATTATCAGTCCATATTCTCCCATGGCGGCCTCTAGTTTCACATCAGATTTCTTTCATATGTAGCGCCTACGTTGGTAGTTGTTCTGACTGCATTCTTACTAAGTGACTCTTAGTTTGACGTTCAGTTGCTTTGCTAGAAAACAATCGCCACTTTCAACCAGCATTCCCAAAGGAGGAGCTTTAGGTTATAATTGTGATTAGGTTGTTTGTGTCAAATAAAATGGCTTAGCATTGCACGCCACCTTCTTCTTCTTTTTCTTCTGCGTTCGACATCAGTCATGCTACACATCGAGTCACGTCTGGGTCACAAAAAGGATTGTGCGTTTAAGGTCGCCACGGGTCCCCCATAGCTTCTCTTTCAATGTGGCTCCCTTGGGCCAGATCCACAGTCTTTGCTGGGAGAGGTAAGAACAGTACTGCAGTATGTGCTCAGGGGTCTGTCTTTCTGCTCCACAATCACAGGCAGCAGATTCTTTTATGCCTATCCTGTAAGGTGTGATCGAAGACCACAGTGTTGCACGCCACCAAAAACCATGAAAAAGACTCCTGTAGTGTTGAAAAAGACAGACACAAATACTGTCCCGACCAACGACGAAAAGTCGCCGTGGTGTAGCGGCTAGACGCTGGCGTGCGGATCGGAATGTCGTATGTTCGCTCCCTGGAGGAACCGAAGTTTTTTATTATGACCTTGACTCCCAGGACGACCCAGCCTTGAGTAGGTTTCAGGTGCAGTCCCTGGAAGTAAAGGCGGCCAGCGTAATGCTGACCACATCACCCATCTTGTCCCGTTTTGTCTATAAAAATATAGGTCTAGCCCTATATGCCCTATATGCCTAAAGGCGTAGAAAAGGGTCCTTTACTTTACTTTTTTTTTTTTTTTTTTTTTTTTAAACCGGTGACGAAGTCGTCTACCGGCGAGCCAATGGGCGACCCCTTCGCCTATGATGACTCGGTTTGACATGCCTGCTTTACATAACTACCTTCGTTTTGAATACACATTTCGATTCATGCTCTTCGCTGCTGAAGAGCGCGCAGCCAGAGGTTTTTTCCCCTTGTATAGAAACGTATGGAACACAAACATACTCTACATTAGAAGCACTGCAATCTAAGGACGCAGGTGGAGGGGGACTCCTAGGTAACTTGAACCCCCGCGCCATCGGACCAATTCAAGCTTAAATCTTGTGTATTGCGTCAGCCTCATATATGTATAGACCAAGCGATACTCATTGTGTGGGGCTGTGGTCAATATAACACCGGTCGCTTTTACTTCCAAGAATATTTCATAGAACCAACATAGGGCTGAACCAAATCATTTTTGAAATCCCAACCTGTAAGTGGGAGTCGTATGCGCAACATCCTTCCTCGTGTAGGTTAGGGACTCCATTTTGGAGAACAAAGAACATTACACCCCTCTCCCCGCCCTCATTAACAAGCATGTCGTAGAAGACGACTAATTATGAGATTTTCATTTAAAGTCGGAGTGCCCCTGCATTAGCGGCTGGGAACTAACAGTCTACATACAATTGGGCCAAATATGTGAAACGGATGTGCATGCAAAACTCAAGTTCTGGATCAAGATGAAAGCCCCGAGTGGACGAACAACCAGAACTTTCCGAAGTTTACAGTTGTTGAAGGCTACGAAGAAGAAGAAGAAGAAGAAGAAGAAGTATATGGGACAGTCGAATCGACAGGTATCGTCTTAGCCTCTAGGCATAACGCAGTTCCCAGTCTTAAAAGAGTACACACAACGTGTTAAACCCGCGTGAACAGTTCCCGTCCTTACAATACAGATTTCAAACGTATCGTATTCGTATCACAAACTCCCTATTCCCAGAGAACAAGATTAACGGTTTTGTGCTGTTATTTTGGGTTGACAAAGCTAGTCAGAATAACTGGGGTAGAATTACTTCATTTTAATACTGCGTTCATTGGCAATGTGCAATGTCGGTTTAGCAGTACATGTGAATTAGGGTGACCATAAGTCCTGCTTTCGCCGGCAGAGTATCGCTTTTTGGGTAGGACCAGATTCTTAACGTCAATTGGAACAATGTAATTTTGTTGTTGTTGCTGGGTGAGAGGGACAGTCTATTATATTCAGACTAAGGACAGGGCACAACAGATTTCGTCAACATATGTTCAAATTTTTCGGTGTAGGAAATACGGACACGTGTCCCTGCAGCGTGGCACCCGAAAATGCTGAGCATGTGCTCCAACACTGTCAACTGTATGCTGACAACAGAGACGCAATCTGGCCTGTTCCAACCACAATGAAGACAAAACTGTATGGTACACAAGAGGATATGGATTGCACAATAGCTTTCATAAAGGCTACCGGCCTCCTGATATAAGTTTTCTGACAGAAGGATCAAAGAAGAAGAAGAAGAAGAAGCTGGGTGTTGACGGGACGGCCTGGGCCTACCTTAGAAACGATACCGTCCCAACAATAGGGTCACCCTTAATTGCGTACTGAATTATTCTGTGTTAACTTTTATAACATTTTCGTTCAATGTACATTGCTTGCGTTACGTGTACACGAGGGAAGCAAAGTCTAGTAAAAACGACAACACATCAAGCGAGTCATGGAGCCAAGAAAAGTAGATGCTAGACTGGTATTCAGTGTACTAAAAAACCGTAAATGGAAAAAAAACCAAACAATCGTCAAGCTTTCAGACAAAAAAGAAATCAGGTTGCATACAATGGTTTTCGAGCACTTTCCCTCCCCCACTAAAGATATAAATGTATGTTTGTGTTTATTGAACTGAATCAACATCATGGCACACGGGTGTAACACATAAGTTCTTCGTTCTTCTTCTAAAAATCTCAGCACAGTGCACGAACTCCGTTGCACCGGCAAGGATCCTGAAATACTTTGGGTACATTTTTAACTTCCAGTTTTGCCCGGGCAGCGCCGTTAGGCTACTCTTTTCGATTACCAGCTGGCAAGGGATATTTTTACTTGCGCAACAATACGCACGGGCGTCCGGTCTTACTACCCAGACACAAAGGGAAAAGACTTGAATCCCAAGCGAAAAAAAAAATCCCAGCTCTCACCGGGACTTGAACCCGGGACCTCTAGCAATGGAGGCGGATACTATGCCTCGAGACCACGCAGCCCCCCTGGGATATACAGGTAAAGGATCCTTTCCCACGCTTTCAGGTGCTTTGGGCAGAAGGTGCTAGATCTATACTTTACAGGGAACCGCCGTGGTGTAAGTGGCTAGACGATAAAGTTGTAGGCTGAGGTCCTAACGGAATTAAACTTTTTTTTCGAAAATGACCCTGAATCCCAGGTCAGACCGAGTCTTAAATGAGTAGTTCAATACATCACCCACAGACTTTATTTGTTACCCATTTAAGGCTGGAAAGACCTTGGAGCCACAGTCCGTCCCCCCCCCCCCCCTCCTTCTTGTTAAAAGTAATAATAATAATAGTAATAATCTGGTTCCGTCTGGATTTGAACCCACTGCCACCGGCGTCGCGACACTACAGCGACGTCTACTATGATTAAGCAGTACATTCAGATTTTTAAAATGTCTGGCTGTTTTGGTAGGTTGAGATTAATAATTTGTTTCTTACAGATGCAGTATAACACAAAATCTCACAGCATCTGTTAAATCACCATATCGCCTTGTCCCTATCGAGTCCGATAAAGTGCAGCAGGGGAAGATCGGGGCCTGGCTTCATGACCTAGGTCGACCCACCTTCCGAGATTATTTAGGGAAGTAATGGACTGAAACAATTGTCGACGAAGGATCTCTACTGATGACCGGTGGACCCCTGCTATTCGTGCTTCCGTGTGGAGTTTTTCTTATTCCTATTACCTATTCACTGGTTCTAACCCATGTCCTCCGCGTGAGAGCCTAGCGCTCTAACCCTTCAGCCCGCTCTTTGTTTGTACAACGATTACGGGGAAATGGGGCTTCTTTATCTCGCCTTTGATATACCAATTGTATTCATTATTCAGGCTAAACAAGGCCTTTGTGTAAGCTGCGGGTTACAAGCACCTTGTCATGTTACCCAACACTGACAGATTAAAAAGAAAACAATGGAAGTCATTTGTTTACTGTCGTGAAACGACAGTTCAAAGTCTAATTTACTGTTTATGTCAATAGACCCAAAACAAGTTATCTGGTATTGCAAACAATACATTACTTAACCTGAAAAGATTCAACAAAATGTAAAAACAAGTAGCCAAACATGTATTATCTTGAAGTTATACATAAAACCGCTGAAGCAGTAGCTGGTTTAGAAAAAAAAAATTTTTTAACAAAATAGATCCACGCATATCAACGACTTGGTCCTTTACCGCCGATACATGGACGACCTTTTAATAATAACATCTGACAAAGAGCAAGCAGGTTCGTTCCGTGCCCTCATGAACCAGACGTACAAAAACATCTCGTTATCTTTACAACACGAAGAAAAAATACTTCACCATTCCTTTATGCGTTAATTAGACGTAGAGTGGATGGTACTGTACAAAGATCAGTGTAGCGTAAAAATACATTGTCCTGTACTTAAACTTTCACAGTTTTGTTCCCATTTAAAATAAACGTGGCCTAGTTAGAAGCTTGTCGGCTCTGTGGCTAAGTCGATGCGAACGATTCGTAATGCCGGGATGCCAGGTTCGATCCCAGCTGCAGGCCATGCGCCTTGTGTTGGTTTCGACAATAGTATCAAGAAAGCTGTGACCGTCCAG